TTGAGTAATTTTAGTTATTAAGCTAGTTTTGTTCACATGACCATGATCAGCAGAGTGAACCAATAAAAAAAATTTTTGACCTAAAAGTGGATTTCCCTGACCGCCTCCCATATGTGACCCGACCAATAAATCCGGCTATCATTTTTTACGGGCGACGTTTAATTTGTCAGTCTGTGTCACACCCTTCGCTTTTACATTTTTCATAAGTATTCCGGGGACAGAGAAATTTTTAAGTGATGAAAAATATTTTTTTCACGCCCATTATATGTCACCTGTCACGTGGTGGGTGAAATTTTTACTTATAAATTTATGGCAAATAATCATAAGCTGGGTATGCGTCTGATTTACCTTTTATTTTAGAACGGAAATTTGATTCTGTCAAAAAATCCGGGATCATCCACACCGTAATGCTCAAGGAAAAGGTGAGCTTTTAATAAACAATTTCGTGCATGATCATGCTATAGTCACATTAGTTTTTAATTTCTATTCCTTTTATTCGTCTTAAGATTCAAAATGCATTATTTCAGTTTGAAGGATGGGAATTTGCTTTGAGCCCTGGACAATTTAATCTTATTTCGATCCTCAAATTCCGTCGTACGAAAGATGACTTCACGTACGATAAGTGTGCTGAGCATACTGAAATAAGTAAGTTCGTGTCATATGTTGCAGAAACCACAACAGATGAAAATTGGAAGAAAGTCGCTTCAGCTCTCAGCGAAGATGGATGCTCAAAGTAAGTACTTTAGATTTGTTTTAAGAGAAAAATTGGATAGAGACGGGATTGGACAATGTCGAAACTACCACCTAAGCGGCCAGACACTGTCAGGCTAGTTATGGAGGCTCTCTGGTGGGTCCCGTCTTAAATCTGCGTGAAAGCTAGAGACATCGTCTCATGTTAAGAACACTGTTCGTTCGCAGTCCTAATGATTTTCCAGCTCCAGATGTCTCGTTTTTTGTTTCTAAAACTCACAATCATTTTATTTCCCAAGCGCCAAGCACAGCGAGAGATGTTAAATTGTTCTGGATTATTGTTGATAACGAAAAGTCGACTTAGATAGACGTTTGTTGAAAATAGGTTGGATCAATCCAAGATATGTTCGACACATACTGAGCTTCCACAATAACCATATCAACCTTTTGTTGGCAGACCCAGTTTGCTGTTGATCGTTATGTGTCAGGGAATGAAGCTTATATGATCGCAGACAAGGCAAAATTAACTCATATGTCGGCCCTTGATGTTATCACAACACCACCACCCGATACTTTTCTCACAACACTACCACCACCCGATACTTCTCTCACAACACCACCATCCGATACGCCACGAACACCAGAACACCAAATTTATCGAAAACAAGATGACTATTCCGAATCATTCGGATTTCTTTCTTCGGTAAATCCTAAAATTGTTTGTTTACCTTATTTGATACGAAGTTTGTTTGACCTTTTCCATAATATTGTATTCGTGCGAATAGGATATTTCGGACGATTTGGACGATTTGAGTAATTCAATTAACGTAGTATATTTTTTGTTTGGTAGTTGTAACTATAAACTTGTTTCTGATCTATGCAGTATTATTGTTTAAGTCAAATGGTCATGACAACGACGATGAGTTTGGCGTAAAAGATAAGGATCTTTTCAAACAGAGGTATTCTATTTTTATTTTTGCATTTCAGTTGTGTTGCGAGTGATGACTAATTGTTGCTGGATTTAGATTTGAAGCATGGACAACTCGAGAAAATGGAAATTGAAGTCGGGAAGATTTGTTGAAGATGTGCTTTATGAGCTTGGGATGCAATAAGTAAGAGTTGTGTTACATTATGCTATGCTGTTTTTTTGCATTCAAGAAGAAATTACTGATTTTTGCATTTAGTCTTGTTCACTCTTTTATCATCGATACTGAGGATATCTTTATTAAGAATGAATTTTCAAGAGAGGAATTGTTGAAAAAAAGCAAGAACAAAGTATACTGGAAATCGACGAAGAGATTCTTGATTACATCAACACATTTGCCAAGGTAAGTTTGTTCTTTTATTGATCTTTTCTATGTTTATTTGTCAACTAACAGTTGCCTGTACAGAAATCTACCAAAGAAATACGTGAAGCGTTTAACACACCCATCCCCAATTAGGAAAAAATTACGACCCAAATACTAATTTTATTTATGACCACATAAAAACTACGATAAACGATTGGTAAGTGGCAAGAAAATTTTTATAGAATAAGTTTATCCTGCAGTAGATTAACATACCACCAATATTGCACAGGGTTCGAATACTCGAGATGGAGCCTAATCCTCTCACTATGGACATGCCAGAAGCATGGCACCGAATCAATGTCCGGAGAACTATCGATATAATGTTTTCCAATACACCTTAAGTTTATGTTGTTGGGTTAGTAAAAATTCTTCATTCTTTTCAAATTCAAAGAAATTAAATTTTCGATCATTTAAATGTAGAGGTGAAAAGGCCGGGTTGGCCTGTTCAGAACGGAAAAATCGATACAGAACCTTAGCAAACATTGGACCAACCCAACGAAAAAGAATCGGCAAAAAGGGAGATGCATATGTCAGGACGATTGGTTAAACATCAACCGACTGGGCGGGGTCAGAGGCCGGACATAAATGGGACGGTTCACACGGCACCAAATTAATGAAAGAGTCTGTCTAAGTTTACCGAGAACTCTTAAGGATATTTTCGTCCATCTTGCTGGCAAGATTGGTATTGAAGAACAAAAAATGAGAAAGCTGAACATAATTGGCATTGTTCATGCAGGTTAGTATTTCTTAGCCTTCTCAAATTTTTGAGATTTTAATAATTTTTTTTAAGGTGCGGTGTTGATGAGGGTCAATCTCGATTGCCCGGCCGGGTACATTTTCCGGTACACCAGGAGAAATCTACTAGAAGTCTACGTGGATGTAAGCAACTTCGGAATCTTTAGATGTGTTAGTTGAAATCATAAATGCAAAGGTAAATATCCCATTTATGTGAGTCCTTAAGCATCTCTTGAAAGTAAATTAACTTCCTCTTCTAGTCCTTAATTCTACAGACGATGAAGATTTTGAATGATTTAGACAATAATAGTAACATTTCAAGTATCTAAACAAGAATAGTCAAAACAAACTGAGCCATATTCTGCCTTAAATTCGTGTTCTTCTTTATTAATAAAATAGTATAGATTTTTGTTAAAGCTAGCACATTTTTTCTCCTCTGCTTTTTCTAAAACCTGCTCAATAGCTTCTGGTAGTAACAAATCTTTACCCATTAAACATATTACCAGTTTCATGTCTTCCTTTTTTTCTTTCAAAGGGGCAAGACATTTCTTTATCATTCCGTTTGCCAGATAAATATTCCAAAATATTGGCATAGAGACCCTTTTCTTCTAGAATATTATTATGCTGAATAGATTATATGAGAAAATCTTGATTATTGAATTTAAAACAATTTCATAAAATTTTTTACCACTTTGTTCAGCTTGCTCTTGTGATAAAATAATTTTATCTGGTAAGAGGTTATGTGTTATAATAAGATTTAAATATAATGATATAAAGTTCAAACCAGTTACAAGACATCTATTTTTGAGTCTTTTTATCAATAAGAAAATATATGCTTTAGGAAAGCTTCCAGATTTTGTTTATTCACATGATATAGTATTGGTTAAAAGTCCTCTTTGTTATGCACTAACATCCAAAAGATTGCATACTTTATTCCTTCTATAAAATAATGTGTATCATATAATGATAAGAAAGATACAGATATTACCTTTCTATATCACTAATTACATTATACTTATCTATTAATCATTAATAGCTAAGAGTATCAATATTATAATATTTAACTATTTCACACATCTGCTCAGTTGATATGGAATCTGTTTCTTTAATGCTTTACTATAATATTTAAACATTCAATGGATTGATATATTTAATTTGTTATCAAGTTTACATTTCTTTAAGAAATAATGTAGAGAATCTATTTCACTTTTAGGATATAATTTTATTAAACAATACTAAGCATCAATTGCTATATATTAGAAATTTTAAGATATTTTGAATAGAAATTCTTATTATTAACCTTTATACTATTATATTAGTATTGATATTTTATGATTTTTTAAGATTTAATAGTTTAAATGACATAAGATTAAATATTCATTCAAGAATTCTTAATTTTTTAGCTTTCTCTACAATAAATTTTCAGTCATATTAAGAATCGTTAAAGTTTACCTATATATTTAATACTAAAAGTCTCCAATATAATATAAAAGCTTTTAACAGATTTACTTAGTTCTCACATATAATTGTGATTCAACATAGGTCTATCACAGTTTAACATTAATAAGATAAATTTGTTTTAATAGTTTTAGATCATTTTTCTAATAAACTATCATATAAATCATGAATATATTGAATTCATCACTCTTTACAGTAGAAAATTTGCTTAGTTTATAAAGTTACTAGATAAAATCTAGAGGTTTTGCAAGTCGTTTAAATGAAAAAAGATAAAATTTAGTAAAATTATATTAAAATCTTATTAAAAATCTGCGAAATTCTGAAAAAGGTAAAATTATATCAAAGCTTATAAAAATGCAAAATTATATTAAAATCTTAGTAAAAAATTAGCAAAACTATAGCTTAAACATTTTGCCAAATCCAAAATGAGTTTAGACAAACAACTTTACTAATCCATATGAATTATATGTTTCTATATCCTATGTGAGAATAAGAGTGTAATCTTATAAAAGTATAAAAGAAATTAATAGATTTTTATAATTATCTTTACTTATTGGATTGTAATTATTTAAAGAGATAAGTACCCCTCTGAATGTGTTCGTATAAATAATTACTTAATATTGCTTAACTCAAAAGAGATAATCTTTCTTTATAAGCTACTTTGTGATAATAGTATATAGGATTTAAGATGTCAGAAGTAGTACTAATACTAACTTTACAAACTGCCTTTAATGCATTATACTAATCAAATGATTTCATATCCTTACATAGATATATAACTTCTTCTCTGTATGATATTCTCAAAGTGAAAAGTACTAATAGTTTTAATCCTAAACTTTAATGCGCTTCTAAAAATATTAGATAATATCTTTACTAATTTGATCTTAAATATAGATAGTGATATATCTTCAAGTATTATGATATCAAAAAAGGTTTAATGTTTATAATATTTACGATAACTTTTTGCTTATTAATCAAGTAATCCTAATACATAAAATATAGATGAATATTCCATTAATATATTCAGCCTCATTACTTACAATAATATATATAAAGAATACAAGTTACTTATTAGATAATATTGTTAAAGTATAACAATTATCTTATTATCATATTTTAATATAATTTTATTATTTGATAAAATATTAGCTAAGAGTCAACGCTATTATAGCAGGTGAGAGAGTTGATTTTAGTATGATTAATTTAATCAGAAATAGTTAGGGTATACATGTTGTAAGTTCAAAAAATTATAATAATATAATATATTTTTAAAATGTTTAATTAATTTTTTTTGATAAATGTAAAATAATAATAGTGAACTTATTAAATAAATCAAAAAAGAAAGATACCTATATATATATATTACAGATAGAGATAACTTCAGAATTATTTTATAAAATATTAGAAGAAGTTTTCATTTTTAGATAAATATTCAGATATATGTATTCAGATATAGCAAAAGTATCTAAACATAAATAAATATATTTTTAATAAGTAATACTTAAGGGTGTTAACTTCAATCTTTCAAATTATATATCCTAAAATCATCTAATTTCAGAAATTAAATAAGCCAAATATGATTATTTCTTAAAAGTAACAAGGAAGTGACAAGAAAGTATTCAGAACTAAAGGTATAATTAGAAGCAATAATTATGATTATTTAATATTACACATATTTTTACTAGATATTATCTGATATTAATCTCTCTAGGTTTACTATCATATGATTTTCTTAACAATATATATATAAAGAATTATCTATTATTAAGCTCTTTGAAAACACTATTATATGACTATACATACTTTCTTCTGATACTTATTTTAGAAAAATAGGCATAGAAAATTTTCATTTAATTTCAGCTAGCATTATTTTATAATTTTGACCAAGACTTTAGATAATATTTTAGTATTTAAGCTAGTATACAGTAGCAGTCATAAGTATCCGACCGCCTCTAACTCTAGTTACAAGTAAGTAAATTCAAAATTTTTTTTTTATTTAAAAAATACATAACCAACTAACTAAAATTAATACATTATGTA